TAAAGGGAAGCAATAGATAGATATTCGATGCCATACAAGGGAATGGAATTAAGTGCATGCAAAGAAAATAGCTAGTGTCTCTCACGAGAAGTATTCTTCTCCTTCCTTTTCCTTTCTTTTATCTTTTTTGTGTTTTGCATGTCCTGGTCATTGAATTCTCTTTCAAAATTTGTAGCTAAGTCAGCGGACATACGAGGAAAGGCTCCGCTAAGGAAATTTTGCAGGATTGACTAAAGAAATTAATTATATTCGCACCGCACGCATGCAGTAGAAAACAACCACTGCAATTAAAAAGATCAGCCAAAGTGGAGACTTGCGGGGAAGGTGCTCTGGTGATGGTTAGTCAGAAAGGAAGTTCCACCGTCCAAGCTGATTGGCGTAATTAAATCTCAATAGAAAAGGCACACCAGTCTAAGCTGTAAAGGGGTTCAGATCAAAAGGGGATTCATACATTTCAAACAAAACAAAATGCATGCTCTTTGATCTTCCTTTCTTCTCTACTATCTTAGTAAGATTTTTCAAGCAATCAACTCTTCCTTTCCCCTCCCTTGTTATCATTAAGGATATATATTGGAGATTAATGTGCATAATTCAACAGGGAAAAGTCAATAAAAATAAGATACAGTCTTTCACATTTATGTGTTCATTCCTTGATTTGTCTTCTATGTTGCGTGCACAGAAAACAAAAGCGACTAGTACATGATAGAAAACATTATCGCATACTTGTACTCAAATTAGACACGAAGAAGTCCCGAGGAACCACAAAAAAAACAAAAAAGGCTATATTTATCAAGAAAATGACAAAGCCTCTGAAGTAATTTGATGATTTCCCCGACAGGGAAATAGAACCCCCCCCCTTTTTTTTTCCTAACTACTAACAATGGAGTACGAATTAGAAAATCCCAATGTGAAATGTGGACAATTCGCAGTCTAGTCTAACCAACTAAGTTTTAGAGAAATCAATAAAATATTAAATTCTTTTCACAAATGGTTTCTAAGTAGACGCAATGTTGCCGCTCTGGCAAGTCATAAGCATTGAATTGGACTGGAGAATTGAGGCAATGTCAACAATAAAACACGTACAAAACGAAGGGCCAAACCACTGTGAGAGAAAAAGTACAAGATCTGTACCGTGATTCCAAATCTTTAATATTTTTCTTGTATTTTTTTATATATTTAGAGTTGAGTTTTCCTCTTTTGCTCATGCAATTGCTGGTGCCTGGTATGCATCATCAACAATATTTCATTGCTTGTTTCCCAAGGAACAAGGAGCAGATCACTATAAACTTTTAATGGGTGTTACGCCCTCAAAAAGTTCATAAGTCAATAGACACTATAGTAACAGAACGGTGAAAGATTCATTGCACATTTTTTCCCCCACACGGCTCAGGAGTCGGGATAAGTTTAAAAGCACTTTGGAAGTACACTAGCGGTCAAGGAGAAAAGTGAAAGAAAACGAAAGCAAGGCCAGGGCTTGTAGGCTTTGGTAGCTCGACGAGAAGCACGTACAAAGTCCAATAACTAGTTATAAAACTTATTCCTGGCTGCAACCTGAGACCTAAATCAATTTAGATAAAAAATAATAATAATAATTGACTTACTTTAATTTAGTCAGAGTTTTTTTATTTAAAAAAATGGGATAATTTTTTCTTTCACTTTTTTTCTACTTTTTTTGGGTTAAAATCGGGACTTAACGCCCATAAACTAGATTAATCAAGTTAATAGGACTCAATATGATCACAATACAAAATTGAAAATAAACCCATGGTTGGGCCATCTATAATCCAATTGTCCTTACTTTATGGGCATTTCATCAAATCAAAGTTTGCTAACCAATCTACTATTGTGTTGAACAGTAGCGTCGCATTTCCTGGACAGGATCTCCTTCTCTCTATTAACCATGATGTAGTTAGCATCCACTTTGTTCAGATGCTTTGTGATTAAATTGATGATCAGCATAGAAACCGACTCCGAAATTAACCACCGTATTCCAAGATCCCAAGCGAGATAACTGTAAATCCCTTGATCCAAGTCGTCCAAGTCGTAAACCCTTGGAAAAAAAATTAATTGATGAAGGAAATATTATACTAAGGATTATGGATACTATATTGATATGATATTATTTATTTTAAGTTTATTTTTAGATTATATCTAAAAAATATCATATTAATAAAAGTATTTATTCATTTTTATATACCCATGATTTTTTATTTTTATATCCCTAAAAGAATTGTAAATAATCAGAAAACAATTATCGAATTTATTAGCATCTGTGAGATGGAATTTGTGGATTGTGAACAATCAGCAAAATGGTAGATAATTGGCATCCGTTAGGAGTAAGGAGATTGGCGGACTGTGAAGCTTGACAGGGGACCATCGATGGCATCGTACGAAGCGGAAACTGCTACCAAAAATATGTTGTCTTTACTTGTCTCAATTTGGAATTCTAATCCTATGTATTTCTGAAAATTTCTTTTTCCACCCATGCACTTCTGCAGGAACGACAATTTTGTCACTCTCATAGAGTTCAGGTGATTAATTATTACTGAACCTGTTACCTTCAACTTTCTGCTGCGTCATTTGTCTGGCCGGTTGATCATCGGTTTGTCGTCTGCTGTAATGGAATTAACTGTAACATCCGAGCTTTTTATTCTAAATAAATATTATATTATTTTCATCCCTTCAAAATTTAAAGGCTATCATTCTATGATGAATTTTCTTAAGAACAACAACAACAAAAAAGTGTGAGTCTAGCATATTGATCCTTTTGTGCCCTTCATCTTTTTTACAAACCACATTAATCTGCCTCAATATCAGGGATTTTAGATCCTTCAATACCAGTTACCTCCAGGTTATCTTAGGTCTTCCTATTCCCCTCCTCCCAGCTTCCACTGTCTTAAGAAAATGAATGCATCACGTGTTTTCCTTCACTTCATATTTCTCAGTAGACTTTAAAGAATCTACTGGTTATGCGTTTTTACTTGAGGGTTCTCAAAATTTTTGTTTTTGAACTAGATAAATGATTTCTGTCATGCAAAGGGCATTGCTCAAGATTAGCTAAATGATTTCTGTTATGCAAAGGGCATTGCTCAAGATTAGCTAATACCTGAAAATTTGTGCTTTTTTAAAAAAAACTCTTTGAGATTTCCAACCTGTTTTCCTTGGTGTTTTTGCGTTTCTTTCGAGAGATGTTTTTCAGACTTTACCTTTATCTTCCAATTTTTAATGGATCACTTGAGCTATTGGCTCGTCAAACCATTATTCTTCTTGCTTTCCAACATTTTCATATGCGCTTTTGCTAAACAACACCAAGGTAATTTGCAAAGTGATGGTTACTCGTGATTTAAGTTGAATGGGAACTAAAATAATGCTGGAAAAACTAGGAATAACCAGACACTAATTTATCCGGATCAATTTAGTAAAATACAATTTACAATTCATAAATCTCAATTCTTTCTCCAGATCAATTTAGTAAAATATAATTTACAATTCATAAATCTCAATTCTTTCTCTCTTTATGCAGTAAAAACAGAATTAAATAATGACAAAAAATAATGCAATTAATCACAAAATCAATACCAAAATTTTTAACGTGGAAAACCCGATGAACAAGAGAGCAAAATGAGTGAAGAGAATTATGAAAATGTGAAGAGAGTAGAGAGGAAGAGAGAGCTGCAATGGCAGCAGCCTTGTTGCCATTGCAGCAACTGCAAGTGCAGCAAAGAGAGTTGAGAGTTGAGTATGAGAGGGTGTAATCCTCCTCCTCTATGTATTTGTTTTGTATTCTTTCTCTATCTCTAAATATATTGACTTCTCCCGTGGATGTAGGCGATTTTGCCGAACCACGTTAAATATTGTGTCAGTGTGCTTGGCCCTCCTATGAGCAAGTATTAGTACATCACCGGTCGGAATTCCCAACAAAATAATGCTGGAAAAACTAGGAACAACCGGACACTAATTTATCCAGATCAATTTAGTAAAATATAATTTACAATTCATAAATCTCAATTCTTTCTCTCTTTATGCAATAAAAACAGAATCAAATAATGACAAAAAATAATGCAATTAATCACAAAATCAATACCAAAATTTTTAACGTGGAAAACCCGATGTGAAAAAAACTATGGGATTATAGTCCATCTAAAAACTTTCATTATCAACAAATAATGAGTTCACAATCATTCTTTCTCAAATTCAACTAAGGAATAAAATATATATATCATCAAGAACAACTTATTCTCGGATTACAACAAGATTAAAAAAGAATTATTTGAGAAAAACTCACAATACTGACAATCCTGTTTTTTATCAAAACGATTAGCTTCCACATCACCAAACTTCGATCCAACCGTCCAGAATGAATAGTAACGTGTCTAGATGTTGTTATCAAACTCTCAACTCAATCCAACGGTGAATGAGTCGGAAATCAAAGAAAAAGCATAGGCTGCTCTGCTACCTCTTTTCTTTTTTTCTCTCTTAGTTTTTTTCTCCTCTCTTCCATTTTTCAAATCTACATCTACATCTTTTAATTTAAAGACAACTTACTAATTAATATGGTGGTCTCATCATTATATGGTGTGAGATCACACACAACAAATAAGAATTTAGAAAAAAAATCTGGAGGACTTGCATTACCGTATTACGAAGTGGTGTATATGGTGCAACTTTGCTTGATAAAAAACGAAACTATAGGTACCAATGCTTGAAACTTTTGTATAGAAAATATTTGATGGACATGTTTCATCCACATGAGATGATCCACCATGAAGATGATTTGTTGGACACTTCAAGGAGGTAATTCTGGATGTGCGTTTTCAGGAATACTATTTAAGACATTGAAAAAAATTTAGTGTGGTATAGGGAATGAGATCCTGGGTTTTAGTTTCAATAACCAATGGGGTGCTAATTTTCATAAATTTAATTATTGAAATAATAGTTATTATTACTGCATTGATCACTATTGTCATAAACCATGACAACTATGATAATCAATGAGATAGACAACTCGAAATTGAAGTTTCTAGTAGCAGATGATCAAAATGTAGTTCATCAGCACCAGCAGGGGTGTCTCCAAGCTTGCAAGTTAACATCCAGCAGATGAACTAATCCTAAATCCAGCAAGACTAAGACAACAACGCAAGAGACATTGCACAGCACAAAAACCTGAAATCTAATAGCATTCTAGAACAGAAGGATCTGGCCTGAAACCATCCTTTAAATGGCCAAAAAATCAGGTCCCTGGTGTTGATTAAACTGCACAATATATGTCACTTGTCTTCTGCCTCGTCATCTCCAGATTCAGTATATTCATGGTTTAAATCTAGACCAGCAAGTTTTGCACAGTTATCACTGACCATATCCACACCCTCATCTACTTCCACGCCCTCGTCCACATTCATGACTGCAGAAGAACTACTAGCTGGGGTGCTGAGAAGGGCCTTTTGCAGCCTGACTGCACTTGGAAACGTGAGGGTGTTCCAGTTGGTGATCTTTTGGCTAACAGCATCCTCAATGGGGGAAAACCCGCATTTCCCCTCCCACATCTCAGTGAGCTCCTGGACTGATGGGATGATTAGATGCTCAACTCCCATAACTGAAAAAATCTGGAAATTAAATCAGAAGTAACAACGTGATCAGATACTGAAAATTATAATATAAACAGAAGGCTTTAATGATCAGTACAAATTGAACCATATATTTTAGCAGTTGAGAGCATAACATCGCTACAATCTTAATTCTTAAATTGTAAATGACAGAAAAGAGAAGAGAGTACATCGGCTGAAAACTGCCTTTTCTCTGTGATTTGCCGAGGGTTGTAGCATAAAATAGCGTAATGGGCAGAATTGAGACCAACCTAGTTCGATCACATGGTTTTTCTCCATGATTTTCTTTTCTTTCTAAATGAGCACTTAAAAAATGAAACAGAAGTGAAAGTTCCAGGTTTTGACCGAACTTGCCATAATTTATGTGAAGCAGTCAGCAGAAATTACTTTTGGAAGCTCTTAATCAAGACGAATGAGAATGTGGAGAATTGCTTTCAGGTAGTAGAGAGTTTCACATGAGAACTTACAGATTCAAGAGTAACCAGTAACATTCTTGACATCCCGTTTTGCCTATACAAGTCCCGAGTTCCAATGAAAGGCATCTCAGCCAAATCGGTCCCGTGCACCCTGCAGAAGCACGGAACAAACATTTCAAGTTAACCACATCCTACATACGTATTTTGTTGATAGTTACCCAAAGAACAACATGTGTAATTTGTTTCCGAAAAATGAAGATACCTTATAGTTGCAGCTGAAATGATGTCATCGTTCTTCTCCAGGATCGCAGTATAAAAGCCTCGAAAATTTATCCTGTTGAGGTTCGATCTGAAAAGACAGAAATATCAGTCTTTATTTCTTGGATTTTTCATATGTTTTGACTTTTGAGAAATTCTTTATGAACGTAAATAGCAAAAGTGATCATGTTATAGAGAAGTTCTTGCATCAGTATGTATATGACACAACATGTAAAACAAAAGAAAAAATGTTACGAGGCTGGTAAGTATTAAACAGCCGTATGTCCACAATTGTACGAGGAGCTTAAACATAAATACAATGGGAAAAAGGCACAGCTCTGCAAAATCTATAAGCGCTCACCCTCGACTATAAGCCACACTCTGAACTACATTGATCTGCGTATGCCGATCAATGATTGTCGTGAAACATTCGTCCAGCACCTCCCAGGCCAATGCAATTTTTGAATTGCATTCGGTGATTAAATGAAGATCCTTGAAGTCCAAGTTGTCTGGCTCCATCCGTTGGAGGAGAGTCCAACAGAACCCTCCTTCTAACTCATGCTTCACACCTACGAGGCTCTGAAGCTTCTCATAAACCTATGAATAAAGCTCATGATCAATTCAAATCTCAAGTTGACAAGTCTTAAATGTTAATATGTTGGGTTAATCTTACATATTCTTAACGATGAAATGGTAATTGTTAAGGAAATTGAAGAAAAGCTAATTGTGTTGAAATGTATACCTCTCCGCAGTGAGAATCACATGCTAAGGTTTCGCCACTGGCATTAAGATCCAACTCCTTACTGCTAACTAAACACTGGCAATGATCTATGACAGCAAAGGATACAGCTTCATTTGTTACTACAAGAATTGAGAATCTTTATAAAAAATAATCAGTAAATTATAGGAAAGTACGTACATTTTTTATCACATTGAACGCAAGTTTGCAGGTCTTTGTCGTTTTCATTACAGTGCTTGCACACACAGTAGGGACAAATCCATTCTCCTTGGGGAATCCTCTGTGATTAATAAAAAATTGAAAAATTTACATTAAAAACAGAGGAGCAATGATTTTTACTTCGAAAAAAACTTATCATGTCAAGAAAATTTACTTACTTCCAATCCCATACATTTGAGATGGGAAGTGGACCAACACTTTTCGCAACAGATCAGGTCCCCTCCATCTGCACAAATCAGGCAAGCATCATCATGTTTATCGGAGGCGCCATTACGGGGAACAATCTCATTAAAGGTGCGCCGCTCGACCTCTACATTGCTCTGCCAAACTTCAAACTGACACTGCAAGAGAGAGCTGTTGCTTCGAGCAACATGGATATGTTCATATGGCCTTTGTAAAACACTCCCGGCATGGGTCTCAAAATCCCACACTGTCATAACTTCATTGCAGCACTCACACCGTACACCCTCTCTTCTTGCTCTTCCCTTCATCAGCACCTCCTTTTTGCTTTGTTTGCGATCATCCGAATCCCCCTCCTTATCAGCAACATAATAAATTTTCTCGTTCTCGATGATCTTGCCATGGTCTATCAACCATGACATTATAGTTCTCGCTAAATATTCTGCAGGTTTGCTGCCGGAAGTACTTGCTTCTCCTACTGAAGGAGTTGATTTCCTCGTCCTCTTAGGAGGGCGACCCGCCCTTCTCTGCTCCGCACTTTCAGTAATCATAGTGTTACTTCTTCGCGGTCTAACTTTCCTGGTAAAATCAGGATCCATTCTCCCGCTAGAATCACTTTCATGTCCATCATCATCATCATCATCACAGCTGACGTACGGTCTCTTTTGTTTTCTAGCCCTTAACTTATAAGCCATGTTTCTAGATTTCAAGAACCCTGGTTTTGCTTCAAGAATTTGTGTTTTTGGTACGCAAGAAAGTATCTGAAACAGAAACAGTAACAACAACAATAATAATCAGAATAGTAACCACCATAACAGCAAAAGCTGGCTAGCTAGCAAAGAAACAAAAATAGCATCGGTGTAAAAACACAAAATCATCTTGATTTGTTTCCATTTCATTTGTTGATTGCTGTAATCTTCTTCGTGGGAGAGTTTCAATGTTAACGCCCAAATACAGAACAAGAACTGAAGTACAGAAAAAACCTTGTAGCTATTGCTGTACCGAGTAATAATGATTGGAGCGTTACGGTTGATGCTCATTTTTCTGTTTTTTTCGCTCGAACCCATTTCTGTTTGTCAAAAACACCTGTTTTTCTCCCCGACACTCACTATTTTAAGTAAGTAAATATATGCAAGGATTATGTAAATTTTAAATATTTCTTTTTTTGCTTGTAATGAATCCCTAATTTAATTTGTTTTAAAAAATCCTCCGCCATTAAACCAGCCAACCAGGTTTTTGTGTAAACCCAAACCTATCACCTGTCTTTACTTTCAACCCGGTCGGGTTGGGTGAGGATCTTTTTCAGCCCAACACCCTGCTAGTGATTTAACTTGACAGTGAAAGTCATGTGTGAGTAACTAAGTATGAAATTAAATATCCCACCGACAAGTAAAATTTCCAAATTATTTAAAATTTGATGAAGAAAAAACGTTATCTTTCATAGATCAAATTAGAATGTGCATCAAATATTCATTTTTAAATAAATTAAGTGACCCACATTAAATTAGGCTATATTCATAACTATGATGAGATTAATCTAATTTGCAAGATGATTTTTTATATATTAGATATACCCACCTTTTTCCTAGCATTAATATATATATATGCATGTGTGTGTGTTTGGAGGTTTGAATCCATTATTTTACAAAATCTAAATAAAAAAAACAGAGAAAGAAACTATTAAAATTTCAAATGATCAACAAAATAAGTGAGAAAATAATTTTAAAAAATAGAAACCCAAAATTCCTTAGACATTTTTGGGAAATCAAGATCCATGGTCTTACAAAGGCTAGAGAAATAATAAGAGAATACGATAATGACTTCAACTTCTTCTCTACAAATGTAATCAAGGAGAAAATTTACCTATTGGTATTTGGAGATGATCACTCTAAATTCTCAGCATGTATATGGTTCTTTACAGATATCAAGTATTAATCATGAAAAGAAGTGACCGATATCTTCTTCAATGATCTTAAAATCAAGAAATATCACAATTTTACAATAACAATAAGAAGAAGAAGAAAACAGTATTGTTCTTTTCAAGATTCTAAAAAATAAAAGGGATTGGTTAAAAGGGTTATGAGAGAAATAGAGAGGAAGATTGCTTTTAAAGAGTTCAGAAATGATTTGGAGATAGAAGAGCAAGACACGAAGCAAAAACAAGAAAATCTACATGGAATGGAAGGCAAGAAGAATCCCAAATGCAATTTTTTAAAAGCCTTTTTCCCTGTATGACAATTTTGCATATGAGAAATTCAAATCTAAGTATGTATATAGCAGTATTATCTCAAATTGTAGATACGTTTTAGCAAAATTGAGTCACTTCACAGCTGAGTTCTAGCAATACAATTAAAGAAAATCTACATATTAGTAAACATGGATAACCATATAATAAGTGAAGCTCGTTTCCATTTTTTGAGTGGAAGAAATTACAATAACCCTTTTGTGATAATATATAAATTTGAAAAATTGATATTATTTAAAAAAGGGTTGGTGAAATTAAAAAAATTAAAATTATATAGAAATATAAAATATGATGGTGATTAATTTTTTGGTGAATAAAAAAATATTAATTTTGCCGTTTAAATATAGTATATATAAGTGCTTAGTCATGTCTTTTGAATTTTCTAATGCATCAAGTATTTTTATTAGATTGATAAACTATATTTTGCGTGATTTATTAGTAGGTTCGTAGTTGTTTATTTTGATAATACATTGATTTACAGTAAAGAATTAGATGGGTATATAAATTACTAAAAACAAATTTGTGATATAATTAGAAAGAGAAGTTTATATGCGTTACAACAACCACTACAAGGAAAATATTATAATGATTGACAACATATGAGAATATATTAATAAATCTCACTCACCTAGCATGTATACGATTCAACTTATCTTGATTTTTTTGATGTCTAAAAAATTAGTGATAAATATAAATCACAAATTCCTTATACCAAAGAAAATATTGTCAAGTCTTCAAAGCCCTCACTAATACATGTAACTCTTATTTATATGTTGGATAATTTAGAGTTGCACCATTAAACTTTGTACTGAAATAAAATATGTATCTTTTATCCTTCATTAAAACAAATTCAATACCTCTAACTAAATCATTACATTCAATCTTAAAATTTTTGTAAAGTTAAGCAAAGTAATGGGCTGAAATAAAGTTTTCTTTTAACAAATTAAAAACCTTTTCTTATTCAATTTTCCATTTAAAATCTATTATTTTCTTTATAATTTCAATTAATAGAACAAATATTATACAAAAATCTTTCATAAACCTTCTATAAAAACTAGCAAATTCATAAAAATAAATTTACCTCACTTATTGTTTTAGGTGCAAACCAATCTTTTTTAACCTTAACATTAACTTTATCGATCACAATATGTAGGTGTTGTCAACATCTTTTTTGACATCAAGAAAAAAAATAGGTTTTCTCTTTTTTTTTCATACAAAAGTTACATTTTTTTAGATCAGCATACAGGCTTTTCTCTTTTTTTTTTTCAATCACGTCATTTTATAACCGAATAAAAGGCTAATTTAAGTTAAATTGCTGAGGAATGAAAAATATAAAAAATAAAGGATCAAAGTGAAAAGGACAGGGGAAATATGTGGCAACCTTAAAGTTTGAGAAAAAAAGTTTAGTTTAATCCTTATACTTTCCAATTTATTTTTTCAATCATCTTGGTTTCTGAAATTTCTCAGTCTCTAGTTTAAGAGAGGGGAGAGAAAGTTACTAGATTCTGGTAATGGAGAAAGAAAATCTTAGTTGATACTGATTTAGATCTAAAAAGATCAATCTTGATGTTAATGGGTTACATTTGATGTAAAGAGTCTTACTAGGTGTTATTTAGCCTTCCCAACACCTAAAATGTTAGATATGAGTTTTGAAAGCTTTTCAGTTTTGAGTTGATTTTAGGTTTATAGACTGATTTTTGTGTTATTTGATACCATATACAAATTTATCAAGGTGTATAAGATGTTTTATAGGTATTTTGGATTAAAATGATTTGAAGAAAAAAATATATGAGTGTTTAGGTCAAAAAACAAAAACCCTTGATTTTTCAACCATTTTTTTGGCTGAAATTTGGGAAAGAATACACGACGTGTCACCTACTTTATTTTCAAAAAATTTAGGGTGGAAAACATGTTACAAATAAAAAGATAAGGGACTAAAAGTGAGCCTAGTTTGCTAAACACCTTTTTTTTGTTTTTTAATTGATATCTTTTTATATGTATTTTTAAGTAGTTTTTTTAATTTATATCTAAATTAATATCCTTTCTCTTTGATTTTTTATATTTTGTATAAATATATATATTTTAATTATTTTGTATGTATTAATGTTTCGAAAAAATTATTGTAATTCATCTATAATATTTTTTATATTTTATATAAATAAACTTTATTTTCACGAGGTGTTTATAAAAATAAAAATTATTTGTTCTTGGTAAAAAAAATGTGACATTTAAGATTAAAAAAAAATGTGCATTAAAGAAAAAAGTTGGGGGTTACATGTCATACTTATCTATCTTTTATTTTTATAAGAATGATATCTTTTTTATTTTATAATTTGATTGGCATTAATAACTATTTCTCAATTTATCGGTTCATACATTCAAAGATTTATTTCATTTAGCATAAACAATGTCTTTATGTTTCTCAATTAAAAAAAATCATGAAATAGTTAAATGCATTTGAGACTCTACACATGACATTGCGGTAACAACTCTATTTTTGTATTTATTAATGTATATAATCCTTATTTTATTTTATTATATGTAAGCATCAACTTTTCAATGCATCATTATTATATTTTTTTCTTCATATCAAAAAACATGTTGATAGCACCTATATATTCATTATTTCACGTTAAGATAAATCTAACCTACTAATGAAGTAAGTCAAATAAATATGTTAACACTTATTTTTTTTCATTTACTCATATAGATTGTGCTCAATTTATTTAATTAAAAGAAATAATAAACTTTTCAATTTATGTTAAGGATTTTTTTGTTAAAAAACATGTTGGAAAAACTTGTGTATTTTTTAGTAAAAAATTATTCGACCTATAGTGAAGCGTAGGTCAAATATTTAGTAAATAAATCTAAAAAGCATCTGAAAAACATTACGGATGGTCCACAATGTTTTGCTCATTTTACCCTTATCTATATAAAACAAAAGGCAATGGATAAGGGGTATTATAGTTTTTTTTTCTAAGGACACATGTTTTTGTTAGATTCATTGAGAGTACAAAGGTCATTTTATCTTTTTTAAAGTAATATAATTACCAAAGTAACCTTACAGGGAAAAAATAACTTTATGTTCAGGGGTTATATAGTAATTTTTATTTTTGTTATAAAGTAAAATGACAAACATACCATCTGGATCAAAAAACCAAAGTTGTCTTGTAGAGACATTTTAGTCTTTCTATCTTGGTTTCCTTAACTATATTTAGAGCAATGAGGGGCATTTATGTATTTAATGATATAAAATATTTACATGAAAAATTTGTTAGCATGTGCGTTGATGCTTTACTCACTCTTTGGAAAACACATGACAACATTCGGTGTTAGAGATGTTTTTATTAATTATTTTGTATGTATTTATTTTTTGAAGATATTATTTTAATTTATCTATAAATATTTTTTATATTTTATTTTGATGAGTTTTTTTTTAAATACTTATTCTTTGATGATATTTTTAATGTGTGTAGTTTTGCATAATATTTTTTTCCTTTTGTTTTATTCAATTAATATAATGTGTGTGTTTATTTTTATTATTGTTTAATTGAATATAAATTTTATTTCAATAACAAATTCAATAAACATAATCAAATAAATATTTTATATTGTAAGATCAAATATCTTGATATATATATATATATCTTAATTTTTTTTAGTTTTATTTTTAGTTATTGTTAATAATTTTATTTATTTATTTACATGGATAATTTTTGATTTATTTAATAAAATATTTGCATGAGCTTTTCCTTGTACGGCAATGTTGCATATGAGAAATTCAAATCTAAGTGTGAATATCTCGAATTGTAGATACGTTTTAGCAAAATTAGGTCACTTCACAGCTAAGTTATAAGTTATAGCAATACAATTTAAAAAAAAATCTCCATATTAGTAAACATAGATAACCATATAATAAGTGAAGCTTATTTCCATTTCTTGAGTGGAAGAAATCACAATAACCCTCTTGAGATAATATAAAAATACAAACACCATCTACAAATTTGAAAAATTGATATTATTTAAAAAAAGTTAGTGAAATTAAAATAAAATAAAATTATATAGAAATATAAAAATGATGGTGATTAATTTTTTGATTAATAAAAAATATGAGTGGTTAGTCATGCCTTTTAAACTTACTAATATATCCAGTATTTTTATGAGACTGATAAACTATATATTGTATGTGTTTATTAAAAGGTTCGTAGTTGTTTATTTTGATAATACATTGATTTACAATAAAAAAAAATTAGATGGGCATATAAATTATTTAAAACAAACTTTTGATATGTTTAGAAAGAAAAGTTTGTATGCTAACACAACAACCACTACAAGAAAAACATTACAATGATTGATGACATATAAAAATATATTAATAAATCTCACTCATGTGGCATGTCTACGATTCAACTTATTTTTGACTTTTTAGATGTCTTAAAGATTAATGATGCATATGAATCACAAACTTTTTAGGCTAAAGAAAATGTTGTCAAATCTTCAAAGTCTTTACTAATATATAGAACTCTTTTTTATATGTTAGATAATTTAGAGATGTATCATTAAGCTTTGTGGTGAAATAGGATATATGTCTTTTATCCTCCATTAAAACAAATTTCAATATCTTTAACTAAATCATCACATTCAATCTTAAAAGATTTGTATAGTTAGGTAAAGCAAGTAATGG